GCCTGGGCAACTTATCAAGACTGTCCCAAAACAAAAAGAATAAAAAGTACTGGGGATTAGATTATTGCTCCTTGGGTTTAAACTCTAGTACTAAGAAAAAGAGAGAATGAAGGAAAGAAAGAAAGAAAGAAAGAAAGAAAGAAAGAAAGAAAGAAAGAAAGAAAGAAAGGCCATGTTTACATCAGGAACCTGTGCCAGCACCTTAAGAACATGGGGTCTGAATCAGGCACACCTCGGCTCAAATGCTGTTGCTGCTGCGGCCGGCTACCTGATGATCATGGGTACCCATCCCCTAAGTATCATCATCTACAAAAATGTTTATGATTATTCATCCTCGGAGAGTTATGATGAGGATGGAGTATTGTGAGTGTCCTGCACCCTGGAAATGCTCCTTAGGTATGAATTCCCTTTCCTTACTGGGAGCTGGCAGCCCAACTTTCAGGACCAGCTTTGCTATTACCTTTGAGCTTGGTCGAGTCATTAAATCATGAGTTCACAGGCCAATCTCTGCATGGCCCTTATTTATTTTTAAGCTCTGAATGGGAGACCTTTCTAAAAAGTTGAAAATCTTTTTATATACACTCAGAAAGTATATACATCATAACCATGCACCTTAATGAACTTTCAAAAACTGAGTACACTGCACACTCCATCTGTTTTTGTAAGTTTTTTTAAGCAGTCATTCCCATTCACTGCTGTTTATGTCTATGTCTGTGGCTGCTTTTGCCTACAGGGGCAGAATTGAGTTGTTGAGGTGGAAACCATATGGCCTGTAAGGCTGAAAATACTATCTGGCTCTTCACAGAAAAAGTCTTCTGACTCCTCCCTCCCATGTAGTATTCCACTGTGTGACCACAGTGACATTTATTTATTCACTGTCCTCTTGGTGAGCAGTTGGGGAGATTCCATGTTGGGGCTATTATGTGTAATCTGCTATGAACATCTTAAGTATGCCTTTGGTGAGACATTCATGTGCATTTGAGTCTACTCCTGAAAGTGGGATTGCTGGGACATAGGGAAGATGCAAGTTGAAGCTTCTGGAAAATGGCTAGTTTTCCAAAGTGGCTGTGCTATTACCCCTCCCCCAGGAGGTGTCCGACGGCTCCACTTGCTCCCACATCCCTTTGGCACTGGGCATTGTCTGACTTTTGGTGCCCTGTCCTCATTTTGATGTTTCATTTCTCTGTGTAAGTTATTTCTGTTTGTGCATTTATGCTTGGACCCCTCCAGTGACAGAGCACTTCCAGGGGCAACTGTTTCATCTTTGTACCCTTCTGATCTCTTAGAAAGCTCTCTTTTCTATAGTAGCCCTTTAGATATTTTAAAATCAATGCTCACATTTCCTCTGAATGCCACCTTCTCCAGGAAAAGAAACAAACACTTATAGCCTCTCTCTCTGTCTCTCTTTCTCTGTCTCTCTCTCTCTCCCTCCCTCCCTGTCTCTCTCTCTCTCTCTCTCTGTATGTGTGTTACTGGGGACTGAACACAGGGCTTTCACACTGAGCTACATTCCCAGTCCTTTTAAAAATATTTTAAAATTTTGAGATAGGGTCTCGCTAAGTCACTAAGTTGCCGAAGCTGGGCTTGAACTTGTGATCTCCCTACCTTACTCAGCTTTATAGGGTGCTGGAATCACAGGCATGTGCCACCATGCATGTTTTATTTCTAGTCTCTAGCATTTTTCAAAAGACATGGATTTGCAAGTCTTTGTCACCTGGTGGCCTAATAAACACATGTAGCCTCTTTGGGCTTTATGTCCCCCATCTATAGTATGAGAGGGTTCAATTTAAATATTTTAGAGTTATTTCAACTCCAACATCCTGTGCTAAATGTTATTGTGGAGATTCTGGAAGAGATTCTCACATATATCTCTAAGCGGAGGATGTCTTCCTTCCTAACGTGTTCTATCATCCTCTCCTAGACAGCAGAGGATATGGACATTCATTCATTTTCTACTTCTCCTGCCACATAGTTCCTGAGTATGGAAGATGTTAGAGGAGCTGCACAAAGAGTTCAGGATGATGAGACTGATAGATCTTTCCTGCAGCAAGCATAGTCCAGGCAGGAAGGGGTAGGGGCAGAGTAGATCAAGTGCTCAGAGGACCCTGTAGCATCCATGGGAAGTTGTAATTGTGCCAAATGCATCTTAAAAAGGCACGACTCATGGAAAATGTCAAGTCTAATGAACATCACTGGAGGCTGCAGGGTAACTGGGTAACTGGGGGAAGGGTGGAGAGGGCTTTGCCTTTGCCCTGTGGCTGGGGAACGTTGGCCCAGGGCTTTGCTTCCTTTGGAGCTGGGGACAGTGCAGGTTTCACCCTCAACAGTCTCAGGGAAGACTTCATCTGTAGCAAATAATGCCCACACTAGACTTCTCTATCTGCATTCTCCTGACACAAGTGTAAAGTAGCGTGTAAAGACCAGAGGATAGGTCACCAAACCCAGGTGGCGGACCCTTCTGACATTTGACTTTGGCACAGACAGGGCCAATTTAACTGATCCAAATTCTGTCAAGATGGAAAAGCAGGGTGGACAAAAGGAAAATACTAATTATGTTGCTGAGATGGTAATTCCATAAAGTCCAATAGGAACATGGCTTTGACTATTTTATGGCAATGCAGCATGCATGTATTCATTCATTTCAGCCCCGCCACAAGCCCATGCAGTAGACACTGTCATCTTTGTTTTAGAACTGGGAAAGCTGAGGTGCAGAAAGTTTGAGAATTTGCCCAGGGCACCATTTGTGAGGGCAGAGCCAGGATTTACCCTCAGACATCTCACTCAGCCTTGTAATGGTGACTTAAGAGCAGGTGATACCAGAGAGCTTTGCCTTCAGGACTTTTGGTTGCAGGACAGAGTCAGGGCCTGGCAGCTGGGCAACTTTGTGTTGGAATGGTGGGCTGGAAGAAATCCCAGGGGGAGCTCATCTAGCCCTCCCTCCACTTTACAGAGGGGCTGGGAACAAGTGTCATTAGGGTGCTGTCATCAGGAGGAAGAAGGGATGCCAGGCTGGCCAGGAGGGTTGGATCTGCACCCCAGAGTAACTCATCCAAGGTCACACAACCCTCATATGGAAAAAAGTCAATGTGAACTTGAACCTGTACTATAACAAAACCTGTACTTGGTCAGTTGTTGGATGTCTCCTCTTTATACCAACATTGAGCAAGACAATCTTCTCTCTTATCTATTTATCTCAGCACAGATTCAGCCAGTTCTATAGAAGGTAAAGGATAGTAAGTGGGGCAAATTGTATTAAAGGTCCTATTGTAGTCACTTTTATTGTTCCTGAGATGATACCCAAACACCCACAAACTAAAGGAGGTGAGGTTTATTTTAGCTCGTGTTTCAGCCCATGGTTGGCCAATTCCAAGGCAGAACAGCATGGCAGAAGGGCCTGGTAGAGGACAGCTGCTCACTCATGACAACCAGAAAGCAGAGCAAAAAGGGAGGTGCTAGGGAGGGAGATACACCCAGGTAGGCCATCCCCCTAGTGACTTGTCTCCTCTGCCTAGACCCCAGTTCACAACAGCCAGCCAGCTATGCAGCCCCACGACCCAGTCACCTTCCGGACACATGTGGCTTTGGGGCCACGTTAGATCTAAACCATGACAGGTCCAGCTCTTCACCCCGCCTTATAGCACTTCCTTCGCCATATGACTTCTTCCTAGAAAAAAAGCAGAGCAAATTTCCTGCCTCTTTATTTTGAGTTTGGCCATGTGACTTGCTTTGGCCAAGAAGAAAGACTCACAAAATCAGTGGGGGTTTCTATTTGCATTTTTTTGTTTGTTTCTGCTGTAAGAGAAGGATATGGTGAAGGCAGTCCCAGCAGGAAAATGGAAGCCACGTGAAGCAGAATTGACCCAGCCAAGCCCAGTGTAGAGCAGTGTCCCCACTCAACCTGTCTCATGTGAGTAAACTTGGCTGAGCCCAATCCAGACCAGCTGACTCCCATCTGCACCCTGCACTCCAGGGAGCTACTGTAATGAATGGCTATTGTTTCATGCCACTGAATGTTGGGCAAACGCATTTAGCAAAGGCTAACTTTGTACCATGTTTTCAGATTGCTATTGACACAACATAAACGTGTCGCTATCAACACTGATGATTAATACTACAATCTTGACTGGTGCATTTGGTAAAAACAAGTTGTCCATCTACCGCTTTGTGAATTGACCCACACAAATGCTTCACCAAAACTTTTAAATGTACATTGTATGTTCATGCCAACAAGTCTTGAAATATGTCAGTCTTCTTTTGCTTTCTGTAATTTTTCACATGTCACACATTTTGGTTAAGCCCATGTCCTGAATTTTCTTCATGGAAAGCTTTTATTATATCAGCTTGTCTCCTGTGTTTAGATTGAACATGTCTGCAAATTACAGTTAATTAGGGATCAGTTGGGATAAAACTACTGGAATAGATGTGTTTCCATATAGTGCAATTCTCTTAAGAAGAATGCTTAAGGATTGTTTCAGACTTATGAGTATGATAATAACTATCATTTATTGCCATAGTTTCAAAATTAAAAATAAAGTTACAAATTTTATTTGCTACCATTTTTAAAAATTCAGAGTAAATAACTGTAAAAATGGAATTTATCTTATTTTATTTATTTTTGGTAACAGGAATCGAACTCAGGACCTTGCATTTGCCAGGCAGGTGCTGTGCCGCTGAGCTATATCCCCAGCTGGAATTAATTTTAAAAATCACAAATTCAATAAAACAGAAGAGAGGTACATCATATTATGCATAAATTTCTTTAAAATATTTTATCACTGGCACTCTGCTGTGTGTGCCTGTGGGGTTGATTTTAATATTTTAATATAGGTTGATTTTTAAAATAATTTTATATAAAATTTTAATATTTGAAAATTTTGCCTGGGAATGCAAACTGTGGGATGCTGTTATAATCAATGAAACTTTCTCTTTGGTCACTGGCTAATTTTTCCCTAGTAGAAGGAATGGCTTGATGGATTGGCACAGGTATGCATCTCCTGCAGGTTCACCTGCCCTGGCATGATGGGAGTGAAGCCCAGGGAGCCACGCATGCTCACACGCTCTGAGAGATGCTCTACACTTACAGCGGGGGATTTTGCTGCCAGCACAACCAGAAGAGCTAAGCCTGCTGCTAGATTTCTGGTGAGTCTGTTTCACATGCCTTTCATGATTTAGTAGATGTCTATGGGGCACAAAGCAGGACCACACAGTCTTTCCAGAAGAGTTTGCCTGCCTGTTTCTCTGTCTGCTGGTTTATCCATACTCTGCCCACCTTCATCTGAGACTTGCTGTCCCTGTATGTGCCACCCAGCAGCAATTGCCAGAAGAGCCTTCCACACCCTCTTTTTTTTTTTTACCTGTGACTGTGGAAGGTTGCCCATAGCTGACCAGCCAACTCTGGAAGTCAAGCTGGCTTTGGCTTTTGCTTGGCCTTTGGAAAAATATTTTTTAATTAAACAAACTTTAATACTGGAATCTTGAAAAGTTTTAGTAGAATTGCACCACAAATAGTTTATACAGATGAGGTACGTTTGAGGTGTTCCCTGCTCAGGACACAATTACCATACCTGGTTCTGAATATCTGCTCAGTACTGGTACCCAGGCACCCCATTTTCCTGGCTGTCCCATAGTGCTAAAATAATAAGACTGTCTTTTTCATAATGAACTTACTATGAAGTAGATCTGGGTTGGCAAACTATAAAGCCCAAGGCCAAATCCTACTTGCTACCTATTTTTGTAAGTAAAGTTTTGTTGGAATGTGGCCACATCCATTCATTCACATGTTACCTTTGGCTGCTTCCACAGGGAAGAGTGGCGCAATTTCGACAGACATCCTGTAGGCTCATTCCCGAAAAAGGCATTGCTGATCCTTAATGCTGATAGATAGCTTTCATTTCTAGCTGTGTTCTAAAAACAATAACAAACTAGACTATGAACTTTGGAGTTACAAAACTGGCTTGTGTTTTACAACTTGTAAAATAAACAATACTTAACTTTTTTTGTAGTATTTTTAAATTTGGTTTTTATACTTCAGAGTCTGTGGAGGTCCCAAAGAAGGACACCTGTAGCAGAGGAGGGAAGGCAGAGTCTCTGGGTGGTCAGAGGGAGAGAGAGGGTAGAGAGAGGTGGAACAAAGTAATAACAGAGGCCTTTCCTCTGCCTCAGAAAGAGCCTGCTTCTCTCCCCACAGGCCTGGCATCAAAATGGACAGATGAAGGCAGGGCTTTCTTGTTGACCCAGGACACAGGGACACAGACCAAGGGGACAGCTATACATGGCTTAATTAGCATCTCAGAAAGGGCTTACAGCTGGCCCCTACTGTTTTATCTACTGTGTAGTCTTTTGATTCATTCAAAAGCGTGCTGCACACTTCAACTTGTGCCCTGAGAGTTTTCAGTTTTTAGTTTCCGTTTTCATTAAGCAGGTTGACTGCAGTACTTGTGACAGGTAGCACAGCGAACCCTGCAAACATGCAGGACACTAGCCTCAGCCCACCTGGTCTCACTGAGTAGGTGACTTTCAAAGAGAGACCTAGGTGGAGAGAAATATTAGCCAAGAAAAGAGTAGCAGGGGAAGGAAAAATAAGTGACTTTGTTCTCCAGCAAGACAGCAATGAAGTCCTCTGAGGAGCCTGCAGAGATGAGCAGAGTTTGAGATGGTGACCAGCATGGGCAGAAGAGAGCCAGATTCAGAGGACCTTATGGGCACCAGCCAGGAATGGGAGGAGTCTCTTGCTGAGGAGTGCGGTAAGAATTCCTGCAGGGCCCAGTGCTTCTTTTCTGTCTCTGCCTCAGCACAGGCAGCATCCCTGTGAGGGCCTCAGGCCTGTGCTGGGTGGCTTGACCAATAGATATCATGGCTAGTAAAATAACCCTCTGGAGCTGGGCATGGTAGTAAACGCCTGTAATCCCAGCAATTGGGAGGCTGAGGCAGGAGGACTGCTGGGAGTTCCAGGCCAGCCTGAACTACATAGGAAGACCCTGTCTCAAACAAAACAAAACAAAACCTCCCATGGGACTTACGAAATTTCTGGGACAAGGGATAAACAGTGCTAAAACCAGAAAGTCCCAGACAAGCTGGGATTAGTGGGTTGTCCTGACATTCAACCCATACAGACTGGTATGGTTTAGTAAACAGCAGCCCCTGTGCTATGTCCCTGCCTCCTTCCTCAGATCTTGAAATTAAAGGGGTGACCCCTGACACAGCAGGGGAATTCTTTCCTGTGAGCCAGTGGCTTTGCTGTACCTGTTGATGAATGGCCCCTCAGGTTAGCTGCATTTCCTCGTCCTTCTTTCTGCTTTCCTCTGGGTTTGGAGTTCACTTGAGAATGGGCATTCTCAAGAGGCTTACCCAAGAATCTTCAGGGCATCTGACTCCAGCCCTGGGGGCAGGAAGGGGTGTGGTAGCCAAAGACGCTGGACACACAGATGTTCCTTCCCTTGTCCTCCCTCTGAGCTCTTTTGCAGATGGCAGCCTGAACACATTCACTGAAGATTTTGTACCCAGTCAGATCCGGCAAAGGCCACCCTGGCTGCTATGAATGGCAGTGGACAGAGTCAGATGGTAAATGCACAAAGGCAGCCCCACAGGTTTTCGTCTACTTGGATAGCTTGATGCAGCACGATGAACCAGAAATTGGTCCTGTCTTTTAGGTGAGACTCCACTTTTAAACAACTGGTGATGACTGAGATGTGCATGGCCACTTTTCAAGGCAGCAGCGTTTCTGTCCTAGCCAGGTACTGTAGGACTTCACAGTGTGCTTCTGAGGAGGGTTTTGCCTTTATCTATAACAAGTTGAAATCTGCACTGGGGCTACTCTTTGTGTCCTAGCTGAGGAAGATGCCTGATCCTCAAGGATCAGCCCCACGGTCACATCCCTCCCTCCCAGGACAGTGAAGGGGCAGCCAAGGGCTGTCTTCAAGCTGAAATCAGCCAAAGGAGACTGGGCATGGTGGTAAACGCCTGGAAGAGAGACCAGGAAGCTGGGAAGAGAGCACGGTCCAGGCATGCATCCCTCAGGCTCCTTTCTGGTAGGTTACAAGGGCTCAGTAGTGCGTCTTGCTGAATGAAGGTGGCCTTCTCTCTGCAGGTGCTGTTCTATTCTGGGCCTGGGATGCAACTCCCAGCATTGCTCTTGGCGCCTGGAGTGGGAGGAGAGCACTGAGTAGTGCACTGTTTCCCTTTAACTTCCTTAAACCCTTTGATAAGAATCCCTTTCTTTAAAAAAATAACAACAGAAACAAAGGCAAACAGTGCCTCTTAGATGGCCTGGGTTAGGCGCCATCTACTTCTGGGGTCCTGACTGCTGAGGAGCTGAGCTGTCCTCCTGTATGACAAGAGGCAGGGGGGAGGTGCTCTGGGGGGAGCAGAGAGCACAGTGCTGCCTGCCGAGGGCTGACCAGTTACCTCCGTCAGGATCTCCGTTAGCCTAGAATCTAATGAGCAGTGTTCATGTCTGTTTCTCAGGTTTGAGTAGTAATTTGCCATAAATAACTGCCACCGACTAGGTGGCCTAACGGGACATTTACTGCCTTTCAGGTTTGTTCTGCAAAAACCTGTCCTACTGAGCTCATACTGTGTTTTTCTTTTTCTTTTCCCTAACAGTCCTAAACTCTTCTTAAAAGATAGCCAGCCTAGCACATTGAAGCATACCTGTCATCCTAGCACTCGAGAGGCTATGGCAGGACTGCTGTGAGTTCGAGGCCAGCCTGGGCTATAAAGAGAGTTCAAGGCTAGCCTGAACTGCATGTGAGACCCTGTTTCAAAACCAAAACAAAAATACCAAAAGCAGAAGAAAGGAGAATGACAGTCACCTTTGATTAGTTTCCACAATATGACTTCATTTTACCTATATTACCACTTTACAGCCTTTTCTCCCAGTTCAGTCCCATTGAGGCACAGGGGTTTGGGCTTTAGCACATCAATTGGGGGACGTAGATAATAGAGCCCTCGTGGTCAGAGATGGTGTCCTCTGAGGCCCTGTTTTCCCATCTGACTCCTGTGATCACTCAGTGCTCATCTTGACATACAGCCGTAAGCCCGTGCCCTCCCCTCCCCGTCCCCATCTGTGGAGTCTGCACATGCTGAAGTCATCTTAAGGCACACAAAGTGGCATGTTCCTGAAGTATTGGTCTTTTGGGCCGGTTGTAGTGTGGCTCATGATCCAAGCAGCTGTCTCAATAGTGTAAGCTGCTGTGTACAGATCTGTTGGGTTCTTGCTGTACCCTGGGAAGGAATGGCAGTGAGAATGAGGAAAAAATAGACAAGAGACTAAATCTGGGGTCAGGCGGAGGTCCTCGGTCTCCTGAGCGGAGAAAGGGAACTGCCCAAGAACAGTAGAGCGTTCATTTATACCCTGGAGAGGTTGGTTAATTTCCACCTCGCTGCCCAGCAATCAGTTAACAAGCTACAATGGCTTGTTTGCATGCTTCGAGGAGCTCCCGTGTTCTCGGGCTGGCTTCGTCCTGTGGGAGTAATTACTTTCCAGCTTCACCCGCTCCCAACACTGTTGGTCACCACGGGCCTGGCCAGGGGACACAGCTTCTATGGAAGTCATCATTGCTCTTGGCTGCAAGCTGGAGGTGGCAACTCACAGCGGCCACTTGACTAGCGTTGGCCATGGAGTGTCTGCTTTGGGTGCAGCAGGGAGATCTTTTTTATACTCTTGCCTCCCTCGTGTGCCTGGCATGCCATTTCTGCCTCTATGCTTTTCCAGGCTGTTCCTCTCCTTGCTTAACTCCCCAGACCCCTTGAGGATCATGTAGCTGTCTCCCCAGCTCTTCAGCCCAGGGCGTCCCCCTTGCTTAGCTCACCTATACACAGTGGATTGTGTCCCACTCATCTTCTTTGGCATTGGTTCCTCTTCTGGGCTATGGAATGCAGGAGGACAGATGCTGTGGCTACACTTGGGTGTTGCTGGCACTTGGCAGGCGCTCCATAAATGCTTAAGGAAGGGATGAGCAAGCCAACCCCTTTTAGGGTGGATTCCTCCCATATGCTGTTCCGCTAACATGCTGACAGTTGTTTCGTTCCCTTACACTAAATCATCATTTCTCTACCAACTTCTTCAATCACGTGGGCTCAGGTCATCTGGGAAGACAGCATGAAGAAGCAAGTTAGTCTCTGCTGCTGGCCCACGGAAGCCTCCTGTTCTGCAGGAAACACAGCCATATTAACAGGTATGGTACAGTATAAAAGAATGAAGAAAAGGTGTGGGGTGAGGTAGTCACTAAAACTGCATGCAAGGTAAGAGCATGGGGCATGTGGTTTGGGTTTTGAAGGCTGTAAATAAGGTACGGCAGGTGGAAAAATGATCTGGATGCATGCAAAGGCTCAAAGTGGTATCAGGGACTGGCATTTTTGAAAAGTGGTGAGATGTCAGGTAAAGGGCAGCTTGTCTTGGTTGAGGTGAAGCATGTGTGCATACTACAAACTACCAAGCCTGGAGGGAGACAAAGGCTGATGCACCACTGTGGCACTTGAACTTGCATTCACTGTTGCAGGAAAAGCAGTCAGCCACCTCTCACAGGCCTGAGATGCTCAAAGTTTGCTGACCTGTGTTCAGCAGAATCCTTGGGCACATGGCAGGGCCAGGGGTTGACCAAAGGCCAGCAGAGCGTGTGGAATGTCGATCTCACAGCAAAGCCATGGGCCAGGCCCCTGGGTCGGACATCACCTTTTCATGTTAGGCCTCTGTCCTATCACCTTCCCACTAAGCATGCTCAGGGCTGTGCCTCTCCTTTCCATCTTTCCATCCCTTCCACTGGCTCATGGCTGAAAATGCCATCCCTCGCTTAGCTGTGCTGCATGTATCCCTAGACAAGTGGCTGGCAGAGGGGACAGCAGAGAGGCCTGGTGTGTATCCAGTCCAAGTTTTCTATGGTGCGTGTGACTTTGGAAAAGTCACTTCACCCCTTTTGTACTCTGTTGCATTGTGGTTAGAAGGAAGCTTCTCACTCATGCACAGGACAGCGTGAAGATGGTGTGAGGTGAAGGGATTGGAAAAGTCTAGGTGTCGGGGTCCCTGCTGTCATCATTATTCCATTTATCCTATCTTATTCCACTTCATTTCCAGCCATTTAGGCAGCAGTAAACAGGTTTGCTTCCACAGCAGCTATAGCTGGTAGTCATATTTTCAGGCCTCCAAATGACAGTTGTGCAGGCAAACTAAGTAGAACAGAGCGCTTGACTTTGAGATTCTTGTAGAAAATCCCTGCTTGCTGGCTGCCAAGGCCAGTGTCTCCTGCCTGGCTTTGCTGGCAGTCAGATTGACCTTCTGGGCATTGTTTGCTTCTATTGCTTCTTTGAGAGGGGCCCTTGGCCTGCCCTCTCTGACCCAAATTCTAACTACTCTTAAAACCTCAGCCAAGTTTCTCATTTTTCCTTCAGTAACTCTCTTGGTTGAAGGACACCTTGGAGTTCACCCAAAGATCTCTCCAGCTTGTTCCCTTTTTTATTCCAGAGAAGCAAACTGCACAGTCCCCTCAAAATGACAAAAGGGCCCTGAAACTAAAATTCTAGCTTTCATAAGGCAAAGCTATTTATTGCTGCGCAACAAACCATACCCATACCTAGTGGTTTCAATCAACAAATTTATCAGCCCTGCTGGGTGTCCTTCTGTACCACACAAAGTGGCTGGGGTTACCCATGAGGCTGCACTGACTGGGGAACAGCTAGGTCATGAACTCTCAGGAGGTTGCCTGCCCTTGTGCAGGCTCCTCTCCTCTGGAGTTTGGCATGAACATCCTTACAGCCAGGAGGCTTCAAGAGGCAGCATCCCAAGCGGACAAGCCCCAGGGTGCCTGGATTCACCAGGCCTTTGCTTGTGCCATGCTTGTTTGTGTTTCGCTGGTCAAAGCAAGTTGCACAGGCAGTCCCAGAGTTCGTATCAAGAACTACACTAGAATGTGGTCACAGGGAGGCCTGGCTCAGTGGGGCACTAGTGTGCAGACTGCTTCCAGATGCCTTTCCCTCTGATGGTCTTTTTTTTTGTCTTTTTGAGACAGGGTCTCACTATGCAGTTCAGGCTGGCCTTGAGCTCACTGTGTAGCCTAGGCTGGTCTTCAACTCGCAACGATCCTCCTGCCTCAGCTTTCCGAGTGCTGGGATTAAAGGCATGCGCCACTACACCCAGCCCTTCTGATGGTCTTGACAATGAACATTTGTCTGGCTCCAGGCTTTAGTTGATTTAGATGAAGACACCACAAAAAATGTCTTTTTTCCTACAATTTCCTGCTCTCCTGTGCTCCCAGATAAGACCCAGCACAACGTACCAGCCCTCTCCAAAGACTTTTTCATCCATTTTCACAGCTGGAAATGATGATTGTGTGTTGTAAACTCCCTTGGGGGCTTTTTTTAATGCCCCAGTTCTGGCACTGAGAAGCTTCTAATCAATATTATAATCATGCTTTTTTGTCATTTTGCTTTTGATCTGAAATGAACCCCAGGAAGCATCTATCATCTTCCCTGCTTCTCCACCGCTGCCATTTTACAGATGAGGATACTGAAATCTAGAATCACTTTGAAGTCATGCAGTGGGTTGGTAGCAGCCCAGATCAGAAGACTGCTGTTCCTCCCTCACTCTTGTCCTTGCCCATCATGGGCATCTTTGGACACAAAGGCACTGAAACTACTTGTCCCACTACCAACATTCAACTGCAGTTTCTGAACTGTTGTCACATCTCCCTGCCCCCAGCTCCCCAATAGTGGGTACTGGGTTCAATATCTTCATGTCCAGAGGTGGAAAGCACAGTGCAAACAGGTGACCTGTCCAAAGTCAGGTAGAACCTGAGCAAGAGAACCAGGACCAGAACCCAGAGACTGGGCCTAGATATCCCTTCTCTTCTTCCCTGAAAAGGCAGAATATGCATTTAGTAAAACATTCAAATTATTTCCAATGGATGGTCAGTGAAAATAAAGTCTCCCTGTGAGGCAGATCTCCAGTCCAGACGTTGTCCAAAAGCTGTCTGCTCTCACAAGTTTCTGTCTCTATTTTCAGAGATTCTCTATGCATCTATAATCATGTTCACGTAGTTGCTATAAAAAAATGTTCCCAAATCATAGCATGCTCCACATACTGTTTTGCAGCCTGCTGTCTTCCCTCTGTGATGTACCTTGGACCATAGCCCACACCTCCACCTGTGTCGATCTCCATTCCTCCAACAGCTGCACTGAAATTCCATGTAGGGAGAACCAGCCCTCTACCAGCCCAACAGTCATGGACACCAGATGAACATACTTTGTTCCCATCTGTTTTTCCCCTGTATTCTGATATTACAGTGTTATTTATAAATAGGTACAATGTAAATGCTTAATCATGCCTTTCCTCACTTACTGGGTTTACCCCCAAAGTCGGTCCCTCCCTCTATCCATTTCCCCTTCCTTCAGTCACTGTTTATTGGGTCCCATCCATGGCTTTCTCCACTGTAGGCTCTGAGAGGTCTTCTGTTTTTCCTCCTGTTGTTGGGATCTAGGGCCACCCTTTCCTCCTTTTTTTTTTCATGGTGTAGTTACTCTTAAAATTCTTTTTTTTTTTTTTTTTGGTTTTTCTCTGGTACCGGGAACCGAACTCATGATCTTGCGCTTGCCAGGCAGGCGCTTTGCCACTGAGCTAAATCCCCAGCCCCTAAGAT